ACCACTCCCTCTTGTTAGTCTTGTCACTCTGTCCTGTGGCTCTGTGCTGTGGCCGAGCTGCTGTCTATGCAGCCATGCCTATGGTATTGCAGTCTGTGAAACAGTGCCGGACCTTTCACAACCATCCACAGTTGGTAGAACCCCGGTCTTGCGACCATCTGAACCGTGTGGGTGTTAGCCCCGGTTCTGACCCTCTGTATGCTAGGGAGTTGCCATAATTAGACTTCTTGTTGTTGTACCGTCAGTCGTGTATTCGGTGGTCCTCCACCTTGTTACATACTGTCAACAAGAGTCCATAACCCAAGAGTATGCAACTGTGATCTCTTTTCTATGGGCCAGATGCGCGGCGCGCTGCCTTCATTACATCATTCAGCTGCAGTCCGCGCACTGCGGAAAATCAAACACCGCACTTTCCCTCCAGTTTGAAATGAACTTTCGTACGGAACTGGAGTTAACGCGCCAGAATTCAGAGATTGTGTAGGTACTGGAACGAATCGAGCAAAAACGGATGGGCTCGTGCGAGAAATTAAGAGTTTGAATGCATGCTTTCAGAGCGTGATGAAGGCAAGTTACGTAATGAAGGCAGCGCGCCACGCATGCAGGCATAATCACAGTTGCATACTCTTGGGTTATGGACTCTTGCTGTCAACCGACAACATGTTTTCAACAAAACAAGGTTTATCTAATACCGTAGTACAATCATGTACCCATACATGATTTTTTTACGAAGACTATCAATAGTTTTGTTGTACATGTACATGTCAGGGCCGGCGCCGGCGCCGCTGGTACGGCTGGTGCGGCCATGGCCGTACCAGTTTTCACCAATTCCAGCGTTCATGGGCTGCTCAGTGCGCACTTGATTATCTGGAACTGTCAGTAATGTCATGGCTTGATAATATTATTTCATGGACTGCACTTGACGTGTAGTCCCTGCTCGCTGCCACACGCGATCGATTTTTATGGCGCTCGCTTGTTCATACTTGCTCTGTGACGCCCCGACGGCCTTAGCCGAAGGCCGTCGGGGCGTTGGGCTATGGGCTTGTGATGATGAATTGATGATGACCAGTAATAAGCTATCCTCACACACTCCTTCTTAGAGTCTCTACCTCCTCAACTGCTCTTCTTGTCCAGGGGAGTCTACTGTGCTAGCTGACATATCTGTTGCTAGAGGAAATGTGCAGCTGAAACAAACAGACACTGCACATAGAGGTAGAGATGTATCCTCCCAGGATTTTGAAATTGGGCATGCGGAAATAGTCGGTATTGTAGCCGACCTGGGGCCGTACCACCCCCCCCCCCCCCCCCCCCAGGTGCTGGCTCCGGGCCTGCATGATGTACATGTACAGTTTAAATGTTGATTACACGCTTGCTGTGGAATGTTGGTGGCAATATGGAGCCGGCACCCGTTTAATTTTTTTTTAAGCGAGCAAGATTTTTCGGGCACTGACTCTGTTGCCATGTTGATGTCTGAAGCAGGGAGTAGTACTAGCACATGTACTCCCTGGTCTGAAGTAATCTCTTCACATACCAGGCTTCCTGTTTTTGTTTATTTGTTTTCTGACGTTTTCTGCTGGCTGAGCTCCTTGCTCTGTGTTTGGTCCGGAGACACCCCCTGATTTAGGTACCATTACCTTTGGGTTATCCGTCATAATAATAATAATAATTTACATACAATGTATATGTCATTTGGAACTCATATATTGAGCCAATAACGAGAGAGCTTGGAAGCTCAGGGCCCTACGCTATGCTTTTTTGCCTTGATGACCTAGACAGAAAAAAGCATAGGGATGTTATAAAATTCTTTAAAAAATTCCTTTTTTTAAAGACATAACCTGGGATTCGAACCCGCACTATCGCGCCCTGCATGCATCCCCCGATACACTTCGCATACATACTAATTCTTCCAAGTTGCTTCACATTATGATCTTGCATTTGAAAGCCCTATTTGAATATGCATTGTGGCCAGCCGTCTTTGATGGTACGGTACGGTAGGGATAGGTACGGGACAGGTACGATCGAGGGTAATACGACACCGTCTCCCGTACCGTACCATCAAACACAGCTGGCCACATACATGTACAGCTGGCCGCAATATTCAAATAGGGCTTTCAAACGCAAGATCATAACGTGAAGCAACTTGGAAGAATGGGTATGAGTGCGAAGTGTATGGGGGAATGCATGTAGGGCGATAGTGCGGGTTCGAATCCCAGGATATGCCTTAAAAAAAATAGGAGAATTGAAAAATTTATAACATCCCTATGATTTTTTGCCGTCAGATACGGGATAGCGCCAGGCGTGACACAAACAAACAAACAAACAAACACACAAACACACAAATATCAAATTAAAGCTGTGTGGACCCTGGCTAGCGCCAGACGTTACTGAAGTAACGTCTTCTGCATAGCTACGGGAATAAAAGTAATCTAGTTACAGTGGTGGAGAGTTACTCTAAGGGTGCGTTCTTAAATCCTCTCGGAAAAGTTGGAGACTCTCCGAAAAGTTCGAGAGCTGTTCTTATATCCTCTCCGAATTTTAGGAGGCTCTCCAAAGCTCTCCAAGCTCTCCAAGCTTCAGAGGTGGTTGAAACTTGGAGATTCCCGCGGTTTGGGATCAGCGCATGCGAACTAGGCTAAAAGCCACGTGTTGATCATTAGTGTACGCATTTCCCTTTTCGCATACGCACAGCGCATACTATTTTCGTGGCACTCAAGATCGCGGCCCCTTTGGCGCTTCATTTTGCTTGACATCTGCAAAATATCTCCGAGACCCGTTCTTGAAGAATCCCAGTTTCTTCGACTTCTCTTTTCTTCTTCTCCTAGAAGCTAGAGAATTTAAGAACGCACCCTTAATTAACTCGTTTCCATTATGTTCTTTTCCTTTGTACATGTAATTGATGGGTGTTTCCACTGAGTCTTGAGATGTTGCATAATAATCAATAGTACTGTTTTCACTGATCAGTCTATCTATCTGGACCCCGCCACGCCATGCGCCAGGCAGTTGCATGTCCTGGGCCTATCCAGTACACATGGTACATGACTGTACATGACTACTTCATTGACATTGCCATTCATTTCGTCAGTTTTGTGGGTCTTTTGACAGGTAGCTAACTAGTATTAGTATTACTAAACTAGCCGGCCCGGCCCTGCAACATCGTCACCGGGGCAAAACAAACTGCCTGGCTGACTCATGAGTCATGCAGCACTGGCCACTGTGAGTGTTATGTCTGTAACTGGCACTACTAGTACTACTAGGCTAAGTATCTAACTACAGTCGACCTACCCTTATAACGATAACCTCTATAACGATATCACCCTTATAACGATATTTTTCTGGCAAACCAAATCACTCCATTGACTTGTGTATACAATGCCTTACCTCTATAACAATATTGCTATAACGATATTACCCCTATAACGATATAAAATGGGCTGACCAATTGACATTTTCCATTTTATAACAATATCTAGCAGGGAATATGTAGAGCCTACTATCCAGGTAGGGCAAGCTTCACTTGATAAGTCGTTGGGACATGGCGAAATGCAATGGGGCACCAGTTGGCACCTTACTGTGCACATAATGTGCATGTATGTCAGTTTTTTATGCTATGAAGAGTGTAAAAAAGAACAAAATCCATGAATTATGACGTATGTGTATGAAATGAACCAGTTACCCCTATAACAATATTACCCTTATAACAATATTTCTTGGTGTGACGCAAATATCGTTATAAGGGTAGGTCGACTGTACTTGTAGTCTGTCAACGCACTGACACAGGATTTTTTGGGACGCACCTGGAGATCTACCCGCGTCTGCGACCTGACACATACTGACATCGCTAGGCGATCTGACACTACAGACTACAGCCTACACAAGCTAGCCTACAGCGTAGATCTACTACAGTAAGATCGGGCGCCGAAGAACACCTCGCCGAAGAACACCCAGGCTGGAAAACCGGCAAAATTTAAGAACAGTCCAGGCTAGAATTATCAGATTTAAGAACACTTTTAAAATTTGGAACATTGTACATGTATGGGAGGTGAGTACATGTCATGTACACGTGTAACCAGTAACTGCTACAGTCATTCCCATTTACGACACCCACTAGTTTAGAAGTACAGTGGTCCCTCTATAATCCGGCACCATTTGTGCCACGAAAATCTGCTGGATTAGGGAGGGTGCTGGATTAACAAATCTGATTTACTGCTGAAATGTGCATGAAGAGGACATTTTGGCTACTGAAAATTGTGCTGGTTTATCGAGGGTGCTGGATTATAAAAAGCCGGATTAGAGAGGGACGACTGTACTACATTGCATTAGAGAGGTTCCGGGGTACGATTTTCCGTGCCAAAATCCGTATGGGCGCTACGGATTTTTTCCAGGCGTGCTCCATACGATTTTTCGGCACGAGAATCCGTGTGGACTGGCTTTCATACGAACCATGCTTCGTATGGAGATTTTGCGTCATCGGGTGCAGAAAGATTTTTCGCGTACAAATTTGGTACGAGAAACTTCGATTTTTCGCGGGAAGTTTTGATTTCGGTACAAATTTTCAAAATAAAAAGGCATAGCGCGGGAATGTGACGTGTTTGCTATCGTAACCTAGGCAATGACGGCCGGCAAACACATAAGTAATTAGTTCCGTACCCCGGAACTTTTCACTGCTCGAAAACGACGTATAAAAAATCCGTAGAGCCTCCACGGATTTTGGCACGAAAAATCGTACTCCGGAACCTCCCTATTACATGTACATGTACATGACAAACGTCATGACGTCACTCGACTCGCCGCAAGCGTGTGAATAAGAACGGTCTGGCTAGAATCAAAAATTTAAGAACTTTCCTAGGCTGCGCTTGAGCCCCTGCGTTCTTCGGCGCCCGATCTTACTGTACAGTACTACTACTAGCGCTACAAAAACTGCATTCACTTGGGTTACATCTTACACGTACCGGTATGTCCATGTCGGCTCAGACTCGGCTGGCTGCATGCTCCCGCCGTCCCGGCACTGCTCCGGCGAAGACCGACACACACACATCCGCATCTCACCATCTAGTCTGGTCTCTCCGACTCCGAGTAGATCCAGGAGTATGTGCCCTGCGCCGAGGCTGATTTTGAGTTTCACCGTTGCACCTTGCCGTAGTTGCATTGCTTTGGAGTTTGGTTTGGAAGCGAGGAGACGAGCTGATTTCTTGTTGCGGAAAACTAAGTAAGTGAACTATCTTGACTGCAAGGTGCTATATCGGAGGAAGCCTAGTCGTACCCGAATTCGAGCGTTGCCTGATACAGCTCCACACCAACCGCTAGCGCTAGCATGGGAGAGGTAAGGCCACTAGCCGGGGCCCGGGGTAACGGAAATGCATGGTCTTTCATCCATGTCGCTCAGTGACCATACACTGGTGACGTACACAAGTACCTACACTAGGCACTGCATGCACTGGCCCCTGCCATGGTCTCTGGCCGGTTCTGGGGAGTTTGGTCAGCGTGCGAATAGATCTACTGAGTACTGGCCAAATGCGGATTGCTTGGAAGCAGGAGTGGTAAGATTCTTTACGATTCCCCGCTTGGGTAATCATCTAGTTTAGGGTCCCAAATTATTTCGCACTTTCCCAGTGTTCTGTTGTTGTTGTTGTTGTAGAAGTTTATTTAATGTCGCACCACAAACAGGCGATTTCGCCTCCTTTGATACATGTGGACGACAGAAGGAATGAGAGAGAGGGGGGGGACAGAAGTATGGAGAGAGGAGGGGTAGAAATAAATAAGCAATCAACCTCAGGGCTACACCAAAGCGAAAACGGAATGGGAACATACTATATACAAAATAGCTTCATACATATATTGCAAAACACGTTTACTATTCTTCAGTCCGCTATACCACAGAAACACACTAGCCGAAAAGCATTTAAACGGAGCCATGATGCGCTTTTAGCAGGGCACAGAACTGAAGGTGGCTGGGCCCGGAACGGAGATCAGGCGGGAGCTGGTTCCACAGGACTGCGCCGATGAACTGCATGGTCGCTCGACCCGCAGGACCGGGCCAAAATGGTACTCGAACGAGGTGATGTGCTGCTCCCCGAGTGCGGTCACCAGTAACTCTCACGAAGAAGCTGTGTACTTTCTATGTACTTTCTGTGTACGTGAGAGCGTGTCAACCCCAGAAATTTGCAAATCGAGATCAAAAACACAGTACTACTACTACTCAGTACTACAGTAGTAGTAGCTGTTGATATGGGTTTTTTCATCAGAACCGATCAGACAGGGTACTGCTGATGAATGCTGCGGAGCAGGGAGCCGAAGGTGTTTCGTTCCTCTCGAACTCTTTGCCTCCACACGAACTCGCAGAGGTAGGTTGGAAACAACTCGCGAGACGTGCCGAAGTTGCGTTGAGCTGGCGCTTTGCACGCATCCACATATTCTCCACATTGTTGGTATGGATGCTCTTGACATAGTGGCAAGGTCTGCATCTCCAGCGAAACCCATCGTGGCTTCCTGCCTCCTACAGTCCATTTCAAAACTATAGACGCGTACCTAGGCAAAAACCGTTATGCCAGCATCTATACCACATCAAATCTGTGATCACTGTGTGCATAAATTTTTCCAAATTGGGCGTCTGTTATCCAATCCTTTAGAAACTATATGAGAGTAATTGTGGAGCGGTCCTGAGCAATATTCCGAAAACTATTCTCAAAAAGTTCCAGCCAAATTTGAAATAATATTTCAAAAACCCTACGCGTCTATAGTTTTGAAATGGACTGTAGTGAGGCCACATCGCGCACCGCATGTGTCACAGAGCATTTCGTTCCTGATAAAGCGCCGAGCGGCAAGGAACTCGACAGTGGCCAAGTTGGGTCCTGGAAAAGATCGGCACAAGGGTGAACACGGTCCACTGCTCCATCAAAATTGCATCATTATGTCTCCGTGAGGGACGGCATTCCGTATCGGCGCACCGGGACGCCCAGCCATTATCACAAAGTCAAAGGAAACAACTCAGTACTAAGGACACAAAACTTCGAAACACACTCAAGCACGCTCTCACGTACACAGAAAGTACAGAGAACACTGGGAAAGTGCGAAATAATTTGGGACCCTAAACTAGATGATTACCCCTGCTTGAACGATTCTACACTCCTTTTATTAATTTTGAAGTCTATTTCTCCATAAAGCAAGCCGTAACAAGACTGATAGGATTTCGGCCATATTTTGCCGCAAAAGCACTGAATTGGAGAAATCATGAAAATCCAGGTCATTTGGCTCCACTTGCAACGGTACACTGTGTGGTTTGAACCCCAGTAGTCGAGGGACCTTCTTGGACCCATTTTCAAATTTAAATTTTTTTCGCTGCACTGCACCACCGTGTACAGAAAGAAAAAATAAATTCACGGTTCGCGTGAGACTCGGCTGCAGGCCGAGTTTTCCGCGTCTGCGGGAACACCACCACCCTCTACAGATTAAGGCGCAGATGCAGCTCCTACTGTGTACGATAAACTGGTCACCAAATACAGGTTACGTATCAGTCTCGTTTCAAAGTGTCCAACACACATGTGAGCCGCATGCCAAGTTAGGGGTCGTCGCAAAAGTTTTCTGTCGTCCCTGAAACGAACATCGTTCATTTCGTGCTTGGACCCCCTCCCCTCCCTCTGAAACGAACACAGCTTGCTATGCTGGACGACGAAAATCGCATGCATGTACATGTCATGTGTACAGTGTCGGTCGACATGCGATTTTGGTTCACACCCCCTCCCCCCCCCCCCCCAAATGAATCATGTTCGTTTCAGGGACGACAAAAAACTTTTGCGACGACCCCTTAGAGCATCTATCCGAACTCGGCTCTCTTCTTCACCATGACGTCATCAATATCGGGTATAGTGCTGGCCATAATGATGTAACGGATGCTGCGAAATTTATGAATCACGCGCATTATATAATTATTATTTGTCGCACGCCTTTCATTCTGCACCTGCCCGTGTCCGGTGCTATAAGAATGAGGAGTCTGTGTGTGTGATATGTGTGTGTGTGTGTGTGTGTGTGTGTGTGTGTGTATGTGTGTGTGCGTATGTGTGCACGCACATGTGTGTGTGTGTGTGTGTGTGTGTCTGTGTTTCCTACCTCTATAGCCTTTCAAATCTTTCGGCTTACCCAGGCTAGTCCTTCACCACTGCAAAATCATATTCCAAGTACTACATAATATAGATGTACCTATTTCTGTGACTTATTCCCTGTGCGTGCGAACGTGAACAGAGTTCGAGTCCATCGGCACCTCCAGGTTACGATGCCACCGCCAATCCAGACCTGGAGCGTAAGTTTTATACTTCAGTACTAAGTTAGATGTATCGACTATAAGGGCACACGTAACCAAACTGGGGAGGGTAGGAGTACCATACCCTCCTCCACCACTGTACACACGGCTGGTGGGCCCACAGAGGAAAATGCCCCCCCCCCCCCCAAAGTTGGGCCAAACACACACACACACACACGCACACACACACACAAACACACACACACATCCTGATGTAGTACAGCCTAGTACCCAGCATTATGTAATGTGCTGTTATACACAAAAGGCACAAGGAGATTTACAGAGTTCGTCGTAACTCGGAGTAACTTGTCTTGATTCCCGCCGCTACAGATTTTTCAAAGTTAGAGCCCTTGTGTCAGAGGGCGACTGCATGACGATGATGGTGCAGTGCCTTAATACATGACATTGTACTTTTATTAAGTAGTCAGCAGTACTGCATTGCACGCAGTTCTCAATTCAACTTTTCACTGAATTCAGTTCTGTGTTTGTGTGTGTGTGTGTGTGTGTGTGTGTGTGTGTGTGTGTGTGTGTGTGTGTGTGTGTGTGTGTGTGTGTGTATGTGCGTGCATGTGTGTGCAATATTATGTGCATTGTCTCCAGGTGGCGGGGCACCGCCGCCATCCTATGACAACTTGTTTGGGAGGATCAAGAACACGAAGTCCAAATCCAGTGGTCTGCCGGATTTCCTGAAGAAGTTTGCATATGTCCTATGCTCATCTAGTACGTGGAGGTCGTGTGATGTTTCATCCTTCTTTCTGGAATATGCCGAAAATGTTGTGCTGCTGGTGCTACCATGGTGATGACTGCCATTGTTGCAGTGCATTAGTGTTGCAAAAGAAAGATCCACGAGCGGGATTCGAACCCAGCACCCCTGTCTTTCCGCTGTTTCCGGGGCAGTGCCCTACCGATTAGGCTACTGGGGATCACACACACACACACGCACGCGCGCACACACACACACACACGCACACACACACACATACACACACACACACACACGCGCGCGGGTCATTCTTGCTACACTAGATTATCAATCTAGTTATTGGTATATAAATCTAGTTATTGGTATACGGGAACAGGCAGGCATAGTGGGATGGTCTAAGACCATGATTGAGAAACAGAGGGTACCAGGTTCAAGTCCTGCTTGGAAGCGGAAGGATTTTTTCCAGCCGTGCTGCGACCCACAGTTAATTGGGAACTCGTGGCCTGGCACGAGGGTAACATGGATGCAGCTAATGGGATTTCGGTCTTTGACCACTTGGTGGTGGGTCTGATCTACTCACCTCCCACCGTTCAGGCGCTGCATCTGCGCCTTTGATCCTAGAGGGTGGTGGCGTTCCCACGGCGGATGCGGAAAACTCGGCTTCCAGCCGAGTCTCACGCGAACCGTGAAATATTAATTAATTATTGGTATACGATGTTCTGGAGTGTGCGGCAGAGGTATTGTTTCCAAGTGTTGTGTGTGCCGCAGCTAGTGGGTGCAATGTAGACCAGGCTGTATCAGTAGTGACGGTCGATTCTTCAGCCTTGCAAGCTGTTGAATGGTGCAATCCCAGCACAAGTTGCTAAGGCTTCTGCTGTAGGATCGCCTCTGAGGATGGGTGCCAAAGGTTGCTTACCATACCACCATTCCTATCAGGGGCGTCGGACACGGTACGGTCACTACGGTATTGACCGTACCACTATTTGCCCCAAGCACCCTGTGAATCAATAAAATGCACTGATTTGATTTCCCCTACGAGTAAATTGTACTTCAGATGGCTGACCGTACCACACTAAATTACCTTCCGACGACCCTGCATATTTCCCAATGGCATACCCCCCCCCCCCACCATCTCCTTTCGTCTTGGCGGCAAGATATCACGTTCCAGTCCCCCCCCCCCCCAGCCGGTGGACAACCCTAGACCCCGATTGTCTGCTTTCTACCAACAGAGAAGTGGCAGCCTTCTACTATTCTGTATGCGAAACTACGATCGTACGTTGTACTTGCTTCCTTGATTCCTGGCTCTATACCAGAAATTGTAATGGCAATTTTTCGTCCTTGCCCTTTCAATCGGTGTAGCCTTGTTATCTGACTTCGAAGTACATTAATTTCACATGTTTTCATGGTACGATCTAGCAAGAATACTGTACTCTTGGATCTACATGTATCTCACAGAGTCGGTACATTTGTCCTGCAAACTGAGGGGTATGTTTGGGATTGGGTACTTTAAGTTTAAGGCCTCATGGCTGCTCCATCCTACAGAACCAGCCCCACACTTGTCCATGTAAATAGCGCGCTGAGACTGACCGGTATCAACCAGGGAGTAGTACAGTATTATACTACTCCCTGATATCAACCATCCATGCATCGTATGCACAGGGGTAATGAATTCGGTCACCAGTAGGGGTGCGCGGATTATGCTCGCACGCACCCGATATTATGCTTTCGGGCATTTCCCGCGGAACTTCGAAAGTATTCTCCCAAAACATCGAAAAAATTCTCCAGAATTCCCCCCCCCCCCCAAAAAAGAACCCCAGCACGAACCGTGCCTTGCGCATGCTCTTTAGTATGCAAAATGGACGGTCAGGAACGTGACCAGGGAGCCCTACACATATCATATGTGTAGGGCTCCCTGAACGTGACCACTGCATGCAGGATCTACATACATGTACATGTCGCCGGCCAGCATGCCCATTCGAGTTTTCCAAATAAAGCAAGGACCGGTGTCGTGTCCGGGTGTTGCTACATGTACATGTACGTGCGTCCATGGATGCGCGCTTGTTCTCTGGCAGGTCAAAATTGACAGAATTCCCCAAAAACTCTTCTGAAGGTCAATGGATCCGGCAAAAGATCGATAGAATTCCCAAAATTTTCTCAACGATAGTATTCCCAAATTATTCCGGGAATAATCCGCGCACCCCTTGTCACCAGCAGAAAAAAAAGCTGGAGCCCCCCCCCCCCCCCTCATACAGGATCCTGGGTACGCCCCTGCTTTGGCTGGACCCATGCTGGTTTGTCATCATTTGGAGAATCAAACATTTGCTGTCTGTCTGCCGGTCTGCCTACTGCAACAGTAGATTGCTGGACCACACAATCAGACTACAAGTATACTGATTGATATTGATATGTTTTAAAAAAACATTATTTTAACGCTTCAACGGTTGTCTTCTTTAAAATGATACGTCTGTCTGCATCTGTCTGTGTGCCTTTTGTGCTTGTCGGTACTCAACAGTTGCTTGCACGATCGTGTCCTGCATCATGCTGGGACTACCCATAGCTATGATTGTGATTGGTAAGTACTTCCTTTCTCTCGTGACCTCCCAGGCGTATGCAACTCGACCAGGTTTACTGTAGTATGCCCAGGTTTACTGTAGTATGCCCAGGTTTACTGTAGTATGCCCAGGTTTACTGTAGTATGCCCAGGTTTACTGTAGTATGCCCAGGTTTACTGTAGTATGCCCAGGTTTACTGTAGTATGCCCAGACAACGTTGAAAACTTGCTTACTGTAAGTCAACAAATATTCGCCGCATATTTATTTTCGGCTATTTTCGGCCTGATCATATTTGGCCGAAAATGACTGTGTTGCAATTTTGTTTTTGCTAGGTTCAGTGTGACAGTGTATACAGGCAGCAGCAGTACAGGCCGAAAATTTGTTGCAGCCGAAATGTGTTTTAGCCCTGGGAGGCTGAAATTTGAATGGGCCGAACATTTGTCCACTTACAGTACATCACACGATGCGGTGTTCATATCATGCACATCCCCAGAGATTTTCTCCCAAGCGAGTAGTAAAAATACTATAGCACTCCCTGACTGAATATAGGCAAATTGTGTGAGTAGTAGTTACACACACACACACACACACACACACACACACACACACACACACACACATGCACGCACCTGCGCGCACACACACACACACACACACACACACACACACACACACACACACACATACACACGTGTGTACATGCATTGTGCAAGATTGTTAACTTTTTAGTATGTGATGTGTGCTTGTGTGCATACACGTGTGTGTGTGTGTGTGTGTGTGTGTGTGTGTGTGTGTGTGTGCGCGCTTGCGTGCGCATGTGTGTGTCCATCCATCCGCACGGACATATTCTGCCTCCTCTACTAGGTGCTATCTACAAGAATGACTGCGAGGCGCAGAGGTTCATTCCGATCTATTTGATTGTGGCGGGATCGTTTGGAGTAGTGCGTGCATTATGCTGTGCTAAGAAGGGACTGTCAAAGGACGACGATGAGGATAGTGGTGCTGACGGTAATGCAAAGGTGGGTGAAGTAGTACATGTACATGGATGCTATAGTGTACTTCAAAGTAGCTGTAAAATTGGTACACTCCGCACGAATGATATGTCATCGGTAGGGGTGAAACAATTATACCGAATACTCGCGTACTCGCTCGGTTCTTTCAAAAATAATCGTACTCGGAATAAATCAGAGTACTCGTTCATACATGGTACATGCATTTACCACAGAAATCTGCAGTTTCAGAGCAGCAGTCGGCAGATATTGATGTGCAGACTGTGTGGTTAACATTTGTTCACCAGTAGAGAGAGCCCAAAATGACCCACCAACCAATCCACTCGAGAAAAATGACTGCCACTCGGTTCAATCAGGGTTGTATCATGTGATTTTAAGGCCCTTGGTGTGCAATTTTTACGAGATGAATACTCGAATACTCGAATATTCGATCGGAGAAAATCAGAGTACTCGAACTCGGGATCTCAGTGCCAACTTTCACCCCTAGTCATCGGAGAGGTTGAAGTCAGCATGCAAGAACTGGAATATTGAACTCGGCCATGGATGTTGCCGTTATTGATAATTGGTACCATTGCAGATATCCACTGGTATCACCCTCAGCAAGTTTGATATGGCATTGTATAGGATATTGCACTGTTTGAGAACGATATGGTGCATGCACATGTGTATCGCCATCCAAGCAATTAGCATGGGTGAATGAAACGACAGCTAAGGCTTTGCTTGTCTGCACCGGCGGTGTGTACTGGATGTGTACTGGGTGTGTGTGTGTGTGTGTGTGTGTGTGTGCGTGCGTGCGTGCGTGCGTGTGTGTGTATGGCCATGCATCTGTTAATACAGGACTGTGGTGGAATCATAGACATTTTCCTGTTTGCCTGGCTAATCTGTGGAAGTGTGTGGGTGTACAAGATCTACAGCCAAGTCCAGCATGACAACAGCGATGCACTGTACTACTGTCAGGCGACAGTGTACAAGTTTGCCTTTGGTGTGATCACTGCCTCTTGGTCACTTTTCGGCCTGGTCCTGTGTTGCGGCTGCTGTTTGTGCATCTATGGTATTTCTAGTAGTGACTAGGACACCGACATGCATTGCACACATACATATCCTATGTATTGTGCATGCGACGACCTTGACAGGCGGTGCACCAGTCCCCACTCAGTCTACCTCCATTCACTGAGCTCTCAGCTTCCTTGCTCTTGTGTTTTCCTGCTTGATGTGTGATAGTACTGTAGTAGTTTGTATCTGTGTCGATTTGATACCGTATGCCGGCACTCTGTCTTGCTTGTAGGCGTGTTCATGCCAGTATGCTTCTGACATTCAGTGGAGTGTCTTATTCTTCTCACTATATCAGTATCTAGCTAGCATTCTTTTCAAACTACTTTTTCTTTTCTTTTCAGAAGTCGATCAAGTGCGGGTAGTGTAGCTGTGCCTATAGCCTGTAGCTGCACTCAGTGCTTGTGTACATTCAAAAGCACCATAAAAATCGATCAGATCATGCTCACGACACTGCCTGTGCCTGTGCCAGATTGCTTTGTGCCATTTGTGCAGTACACAATATACACATGCTTCTTGGAGCCTCGTGAACTTGTCAAGCCGCGTTGGTCAGCTTTACCTAGACAACCAAGGTTACATCACTTCTACACGACTTGTTTTGTTTTACTTGATGTTTGCTTAGAGAGCGTGGGACTCCAGGTAGTGACTAATTTTCCTCTCCTTTTGTATGATTGTTCTCGTTTTTTTTTAATTAGTTCTAGCTTCAAAGTTACAGATGTGTCCATCTTGTTCCGAACAAGAATAATTTTCCTATGTAAAAATGCACTGGCTAGAACTTGGCATGGTCATGATATGGGCATACCGTGATACTGTAAGACCACTTTGATAAACAATCTGGGGATTGCAAATTCGCAAGTTTGAAAGGCGTCGAAATTTGTCGTCCTACAGGACAGTGCACATGTTGTTGTTACCATACAGTGCACATGTATAGACTTGGGCTGTAGACTATTTACTGACCAGGCTAAAGCTAGTAAACACTTCCCGTGGAGATACGTTAACGGTAATACCGGCACTGACAGGATTCCACGTTGAGGCTAGGAGCTGGTGCGGACCCTGGCAATCATGGAGACTGGGTTTGCTTTACCAAGCCAAAGAATGCATTCTGTGAAGGAACAGACAACTAGTACTTCCTGCAACAGGACAAGACCATAGCCACATACACACACGCACACACACACACGGCACACACCACAATGTGATGACCCAAAGCCAAAGGCGTTAAATCAATGTGAAAGTATGATAAAATCATAGGCAGAGTGCAAATACAGTGCACATGTACACAAGTACTAGTACATGTATTGTAATGAGCACAAAGAAAAACTAAGCGCATAGCCAGCCTATATCAAAAAGAATAGCAGGACGTGTAGTTATCATTATTTCCAATTCGATACAGAAATGAAATCATGAGAAATGAATGTTGCTCTACTGCCGGGGCAAAAGACAAACATAGAGGACCTACACATACACATTGCGCATCACGCATGGCGTGACCAAGAGACACAGGTGTACACGGGACAGCAGTGAGATATCCATACGCCCAAAGTGAAATAATTATGACAGTCCAAGCCGAGATCAGCCGCTGGCAAGAACCGCAGGAAAGGAGCCATTTGTAAGTATGTAAAGAGTATACGCACAGCTAAAATGCTGAAGAGGAATGCCTGTAGACACCCTAGCATCAGGCTAGCCCAGAAAAAGACAACACAAGACGACATTGAGATTAACTTGGCAGGAAGAAGCAAGAGATCAGCCGTACCAACGGCAGCATAGGCTATGTCAATATAGGATTAAATTGCGGATACCAAAATATGCATTAGCAAGTAACACGGGGAACACCACAAACTGTACAATACGCTCGGACCTGCCATACAAACCATGCCTGCTTGGTAGGTGGTAGTACTTATTACCAACAGCACTAACAATGCACACGCACACACGAACTCACACACACACACACATACACACACACACATGCGTGCACACACACGCATACGCACACACATTGACAGATACGCTGTCTCCACATTCAAATCTCCTGCACACGCACCCACCCACCTGCGTGCAATAGCACACCCCATGTGCATTATTATGTTCATGCGTGACTCAAGCAAAGGAAAAAATCCGGGGGGAAAGTAGAGTGAATGCTGTCACATGCTGGTCAAGAAGTCTTGACAGGTGCACTGCACCCGTTCAAGACAGCCACACCAATATGGGGTTCAGTAGACTGGGATAGAGTGTCAAACATGAACTATGGCAACACACAGAGCAGCAGTTACACGATATACACGTACACATTTGCATACCAGAATGCAGCGGCTGACTACTGCATCTATCTGCACAATGTGCCTGCCTGTAAGCACCAAAATGCAGTATAGACAGTATGAACAGTGGGAGCAGCCGTGACGGCAACGGTGATGCTCCTAATCGATCTTGACGGCACCATAGATGCTGGAGACGAACCAGTACGTTGCGTAGAAACCTATACTACCGGTGAGCAGACCATATGTGCTGCACATCAATATGCTGTACGTGAAGTAGAGCAGTGTTGGCACAAAGCCTGCAATTGACAGCTGTTGAATACAACATACACACATACACACACACACACACACACACACACACACACACACACACACACACACACACACACACACAAGCGGTGACACAAGATAGATTAATGAACAGCACACATGTCAGATGGATGTGTACATGTATGTCTGTACGGGGATGTTACAGCCGGCAGTGACTGGACTGGGCCATGGGGTAAGTCCCCCCCCCCCCCCCCCACCACCACAATCGGGCGATACTACAGTCAGTAGTGACTGGATTGGGCAGTGGGATAAGATGACCACCGCATGTACAGAAACAGAGTTGCAAAAGGCACAAAACGGGGGGGGGGGGGGGGTACTAGTATGCCTTTTGCGGCTTTCCCACTCACAATACAAAGCTAGAGGGGTATTTATCAGTCTTACCTTGGACGAGAAGTAGAAGACAGAATAGAGGAAGACGTAGAGTGAACTGCTGCTTGACAGCATCCAAGACCTCCACCACCAATGGTAGTTCTACACAAATACACACCACAATTGCAAGTACACAAGCAAAGCATAAGCAAGCGGAACCAAGCAAGCAAGCACCCTACATGTACAGTTGCGCTCACTGAAATCCGACCAAAAGTGCAAAGCTGACGCCCTGGACCAGTTCCGATTACATCATTGTGTGCGTACATGTGTACGTCCAGCTGCATTCATTCCACTTCCAGGGCGTCAAGGGCCGTGGAAGCTGAGGGCGCCAGCTTTGCACGTTGGGTCGGATTTCAGTGAGCGCAACTGTATGTGTTTCTTGGTTGCCTGGCAATCATGAATGAACGTGAAGACTGGAGTTGCAAACAATTGTCACCTCTCACACCTTCGTGTGTTACAATTGCAAGTATTTTACAGTTACAAACATAACTAAAGTGAGTGAAGCAACATCGAGCAAGAGCAAGAGAGCAAGAGAGCAAGAGAGAGAGAGAGAGAGAGAGAGAGAGAGCGAGAGCGAGAGAAAGAGAGCACTCACCTCCCCACAAAGCATGAAGTAGACTATGACGATAGTGATCTCAGAGCAGACAATCACCAAGATCAGGAAGACCAGGAACAAGAAGCCAAACATGTAGTAGAAGCGGTTCTCCCAGATTGCCTGTGCCAAAGAGACAACAAAGTGTGTGCAAATCGTATCAAAAAGGAGGCTAAACATGAATACGAATGGCAGCATGAAAGGATTACCGATATTGCGCCTTGTCAAACTCTGACTATAATATATGATCCGATAAGTGATTACTTTGGTGGACAGTTAGTCATGACATGTAATATTTTGGCCTTCCTCTTTTTCAACGGAAATAAGGCAACTCTAAAATGGGCAGCATATGAATGCACACAGTAACGAGTAAAATGCCCCGGCGGACGCAGGTGATAGCAGACAACAAGCAGCTGAGCCAGCGACTGCAAGAGAGCCAGCTGAGCCAGCTAAAACCAGCACATGTAAGAGAGACAAGCTGGGTAGTCTACCAAAAGCCTTCCAGAATCCATGGAAGCACTTACCGTCAGGATGAAGAACAGCTCAATGAAAACAGCACAGAAGGGAAGAATGCCAGCGAGCAACACACTGCACATGCAAGAACACACAAGCACACCCACAACATTTACTACAAACACAAAGGAACAATACAGGTTTGTGTACAGCCAGGCGCATTGCATCGTGCAAAGTGACGTGTGAATTCTGAAAACGAGCAGTGGCAGAGGCCTATGTGGAGTTGCACACTCTGGGGAGTTCAGTACTCTTGCTACAAGTGAGATAATCAGCTGGAAGCCCGCCAAAAAAGAACATGCTACTGTACATTGATCTAATTCACTTTCTTGAATACGTTGCCTTACCTGACTTCTCTGCCCATGTACCAGACCTGTTCGGGTACTTGGCGTGGAATTTGATTGGTACGGACAGGATGATCATATGGCTACAGAGACAGAACGGCGACAAGACAATATTGATGAAGCAGGATTCAAATACCGTAAAGTACCGTTGATCCGCCCCCACGCCATGTCGCTTCCCAGCTGGGTTTTCGGCAGGGGGCGGGAATTAGATCAAGGCTGTCAAGTGCAGTACGATGTACAACAACGTAGAAGTTCAGACTCGATGCGCTGGATTGTGCACATTTTGATCCTGGATTGGCAAGTATTGTGTACAGCAGTGCATGCGTCGGTTCAACATCGTATTTCGTTGTATACGCCGAAGTCGCTTCACAAGGAGAAAATCGACAGGGGGCGGGAATTAGAGAGGGGGCGGATCAACGGTACTTTACGGTATTCTAAAATCATTAATGTGGTTGCTTTGTACAGAAGGGCATTGTATGGATTCCCATGCACACAAAGTGAAACATGATCTACAACTACCGACATACATGTATCATGCTACAACTGAATAGGAGTACATGTACTAGTACCGTAAAATCCCGCCAGAGCGCCCCGTCTCAACCATCCGCCCCTCCCTGACTTCTTGTCAGGGAAGTGATTGATTGTATCCTCGTATGACTCTGTGATGCCGTACTGTACTGCAGACGGGTGCTCGACCCTGTTGGAAATGTACGCAACAGTGCCCACCCTCTTGACCAGGGATCGCACAAACCCTGAGTTTTGATGGGTCTGTACGACTCCTGGTTCTTGACCTATGGCCGGTGTACGAGATGCACGAACAGTTTTTGTAGGGTGAGTACTTTTTCATGTAGTACTGAATGCGGTAAGTAGGACTCACCCATCCGCCCCTCCCCACCTGGATCCTCTCGAAGGGTGGAGGAGGTAGGGGCGCTCTGGCGGGATTTTACGGTACTAGTACAGTACATGTATTCAAAGTTACATCAACACTAAGTACTAGCTTAGCTGGCATTAAAATAGGGCCAACAAAGAAAACTGCACTAAGCAGCCATCTCAGCTGCCCCACCCTCAAACCAGTCTGCACAGAACACATACGGTCTTCAAAGAACAACAGCAGGCAATGCACGGAGTCTGTAGGCCTCACCTGCTTGCGGAAGCCAAAGAAGAAGCCACCTACGACCAGGGGCATGGAGATGCAAAGCCAGACTGCCAGCAGAGCCAGCATGGTAGTGAAAGGTAACTACAAGACAATGACGTCAGCACGCACGCACACGCATGCACACACACCCAAAACACCAGCACACATGCTTCAGCCACCGTCATATTCATACCAGTTGCGAAAAAGATTTTGGTTATTGGAGTTAGAACAAATCCCCTCTGGGCCTATATCAGACTACCTACAAAGAAAACAGTTCACCTCGTCCTAGGCTCATAACAAGCAGGTCTCCTTTACGTATCTATGTAGTAGCAACCGCATCACCCTGGAAACAATGAAATCAAATGTTCTACATATACAGTTGCTGTCCACAGATTTGAGTATACACTCATATAGATGAGTAACGCATGCAGAGTGCTACACGCACTGGTAGACTGCTGCCATGCACTTAGGCAACTCACAGCAGCGGATGATTGCTTGGCCCAAAGGAACAAGTTGACCAGGAAACAGCACGCTCCGACCATACCAGGATAAAGCACGGCACACTGCAAGAATGGCAGCAGCAACAGCATCAACACGAACACATCAATGCACACAGCAACCGTGCACTGTATACTATAGCTGCACGTACCATACAGTTTGCAATTCAGTCAATCTATAAAAGTGCAAGCCAGTACCTCATCATGCATTTCCAAATCATAAATACAGGAACCTGAACGGGCCTCCAGCGTAAACTCCAATCACAATTACGAATGTACAAACTCTCCACAAATTCTCTAAAAATTCTCTAAGAACTCACCCAGCATTTTATACATACCGGTATACCCAATTATACACACTTGGCACTACACCCCCCCCCCCCCCCCCCCCAAGCCCATGGGTTATCCATGCAAAACAGTGAAACCTATTTAAAAACCATCTAAGCCTAAAAAGCTCAAAGACCTTCCTGAAAATCACCAAAAATTATGAAAAATAGTAGGGCTGAAACGATATGCAAAAACTGCTTAACGATAACACTTATAGCTTAACAATCGATATAACGATATAACGATATTCGCGCTCGCTGGGTCAGTGTACGCACTAACTCAACAGTAAATGTCTACCACCAGTGTACAATGTAGTAGTGGACATGTGCCATGCTAGTGCACAGCGCGGTTTGGACCCGGTACACACAGTAACACAGTGCACGCAGCACTCACAGCGCTGTTACTCGCGTTCTGGCACCTCACACACGTGCATCTACATAGTTCAGTAGTATTGTTATATCGTTAGTGACAGATAACGATAATCGATAATTTCCTTAGCGATTAGCAAACGGTTAATCGATCATATCGTTTCAGCCCTAAAAAATAGTATGCCATGCCACTAGTAATTGAAATGCACAGTAACAAACACACATGTACTTCAAGTACATCCTAAGTATTTGTGAGGTACAAGTACTCAAAGTAAGGACACAATCACGCATCGACGAAGCGTGGATAGCTTGAATCTGGACTTACCAAGACACCAGTGTCCTTCCAGTTGTCACCCTTCAGTGTACGGTACAGACGCCCAGCCATGTAGCCACCAAACATTCTACAAGAAGAAAAAACAATTACATAGGAATGGAGAGGCTTGTACCAAGGCTCCTAACCTCATCAAGTACATCTGATCATGGCCCAGCCAATATTACCAGGGAGTTCCTGGTCAACAGGTGTATCTGGACGAGAACAAATCATTCTAACACTGCGGACAGGTGTAAGTCCGAATCAGCTGCTACGATAATAGGGGTTTGTCGGCACACACACATGTGCACCTACACACGCATGCATGTTCACGAGCGTGTGTGTGTGTGTGCGTGTCATACCCAGACAGCTAGCTACGTACCCCATGAAAGCAAATAGGAAGATGGCTGCGGACATGAGAGCACCGCGACTAGCCGGTGACAGCATTCCCATTAGAGCCAGCACTGGAAATACACAAACACAGGCAAACATGTACAACACCCGCACAGACATACCAACAGGCAGCAGAGCAGTTCAATATGGATTCATGACCACTGAGCACTTCGAAGCAGTAGAAAACAAACAGGAGTCATACTGTAGCATGCTAAAGGCTATAACGAAGAAAAGACAAAACCCTCTGAGTACTTGAAAGATGTAGAACCACTCATCTGACAACACATGCAAAGTACACACTAGACTTCTGAACCCCTTTCGACTCACACAAAAGCAATAATCTTCAAGTGAGACACATTTTCGCTCGTATTTCTGACAAACATTCACTGATTTTACAAATGAGCCAGCGTTGGAAAAGCAGAAAAAAGCAGTGAGTTTCTCTCCGACTTCCACGCTCACAATGGCAGTGGCGTACCCCCTAAAGGACCATCAAATATATTGTTTGCTAGTGCTAGTGTTTACCCATCAATCAATGTTGATATCGTGAGTTCCTATGTCTACGACTAAGGGTTAGAAAGCAAGCAAGCAGCCAGGCACCCACAACCATCCATGTATGCACTTTGACTAGTAGCACTCACCCAGAGTGATGACAAACATAGCCAGAAGCTGCACGCCAGTGCTGATGAAAGCAGATAGGATCTTGATGTTGACTGGTGGACGGAATATATCACCATGTACAAGTTTCCAACCAGTCTCCTCAATTGCATCATCCTGTCAGCGAGGAAATAAGAAGCAGCCAAGAAGAAAAATACAAAATAACAGAGAGTGAGAGAGAGGAGTCACACAAAATTCCAGATGGAGCAGAATAAGTCCTGGATATACTCATAGATAACTGAGCCAAACATTGCATGTCAAACATGTCGTGGCCAAACAACTAACACACTCAAGCAACTCAATAAGGTAAGTGCCAAGCCTGGAACTATTTAGGATACTAGCAGTTAAGCGACAACGATACAATCACGTGTGACCTTTTCCAGTACTATGACCAACATCCTTACAATATCTTCCTCGTCAAGTTTGTTGTAGCGTGCAATATCACGACGCAGAGTACGGACCAAGATAATAGCGACGATTCCTGAATAGACAGAGAGGATAATGTTTTCAAAGATGCATGCGTGTGTCAATGAATGTCATCATAGCGTGACAATATAGCAGAAATGAAATTTTCAAGAAAACTCGGTAATGCACCTATTCGAACCTTTCAGGCAAAACTTTTTTAGCCCGTTTCATTCATTATTGAGGAGGCCTGTGTCCTTGTGCCACAAGTACTACAGCTCTGGTCAGTGAAGTACTCGTACAGATGGCCACTGCTGCATCTCAGGTGGCCCACGTCCAGAAGTCCTCGATTCCCTTCAGCTGTGCAACCATGTATAGTTCACACGTCCACCATGCAGCTCATGGCAACGCAGCTCTTGAGCAAGTGGCTAGATTTCCATAGCCAGCACACACAGTACCAAGAATACACATGAAGCTCAAACTCACCAGACAAGAAAAGCACAATAGTCAAGGAGTTGATGATGGAGAACCAGTGAACCTGTCAACACCCACACGCAAGCACAGCAACACATAGCACATCACACACAAAGTGGTGTTTTTACTCACATAGACATCAAAGGCTAAGAGCACGTAGACAACAAAGCCAGACTCTAATGGGTGGTACATTCGAGAGAAGTATATCAAGTCAGCTTGATGCCAGCCATACCTGTCCATCCTTCAACTCCAAGTACGTATCCCAACGCGATGCCCACTCAAGGGTACTTGGCTACAGCAGTTGCACGAAAAGAAACAGGGACAGTAAGCAAAAGTTAGCTACAAAGTGACAAAACAAATCACAGAGAAAGATGACTGCACAGCACACAGCACACAGCAACCAGAACAGGCACGGAAACAGGAAACACATTGGCAGTCATCCTAAAACACAAGTGGAAAAGGAAAGAGAACATCATGAAATCGATGCCACAGACATGAACAAGACGAGATATCAACATTCATAGCTTACCGCCCACATAACACTGTATGAGTAGACAATCTTGTTCTCTGCACAACACACATACAGACACAGATAGGCAAATGAAGGCAAGTATGCAAGAAAATCCCCAGATTTCTCTCTCTCTCTCTCTCTCTCTCTCTCTCTCTCTCTCTCTCTCTCTCTCTCTCTCTCTCTCTCTCTCTCTCTCTCTCTCTCTCTCTCTCTCTCTCCCTCTCTCCCCCACACACAGCAGCAGCAACACGCTGAAAACTACGGCAAATACGGCTAGAAGACAAACATCACTACATGATAGTGTGGACCAGCTCCATGGACCTACCCTTGCCAGCCACAACGGGTTGTGGTTTGATTTCCTTGATATTAGTGGTCTTGAAAGTACACTGTGTCTTCTCAATACTAAGCTGTCCGTTACCAACACTGAGTGGTTGAACTTCAAAGCCAACAATGCGATAACGTTTCCTAAAATTAACACACACACATTCAAACACACACACACACACACACACACACACACGCACACACACACGCACACACACACACACGCACACACACACGCACACACACACACACACACACACACACACACACACACATATATGAATGCACACGTGCACGGGTGTAAAGTCACACTGCAAAACAAAATAAACAACTTTGCACCGTGACATTACAGATACAAGCATACGCGTTTCCTTTTGAGCAAACTACAAGAACTTGACAAATACCAAGAACGGATGCAATGGCATTCCCCATCAGCACAGCATTCAGTCGTGGACAGGCAGTGAGAACGAAAGACATTACAACTGACCAATCACACTTACCCTACATCAGATGTAGATGCATGATAGCGGATGATCAGTGCAAGATGATTGTTGATGATCGGTACCTTTCCCGGAATACCCAGCTTGTAACCGTGCTCGTATTGCGCCACATTAGGCTTGTCTACACGCACATACTTAGTGGCAGCCGGCAGGTTGTCCACAAGCCTGGGAGGTGCAGCCAACAACAAAGACAAACAGGCTAGGATGAACCTCATGACCACAGCAATATCCTGTACATACAAGAGGGTGATGACATGGGCACGTGAACGCATGACACAAAGATACATGCAAAGAGGAAGAGAAACTGAGGATCCTGACAGGCTAAGGTGTGTTTTTACTGGACGCCCATGGACTAAACAAACATGTGTGTTCATGTACTGCATCCATGATGATTGACTGGCTTGAGGGAAAGACATGATGCATCCATGATGATTGTAAATGAATAAGCAGGTTCCACCTTGCAGTGTTCAGATGTGTGCGGAATTTGTACTAGCACATTCTTGGTTGGAACGACTCGAATGACTCAACTTATCCAGCCTCTTACAGTGCCAGAAGACATTCTCAGCACGTTTGGTGCACATGCAGTAAACAAATGGCACTAGTATAACAGTTACACGACTGAATTTCTGGCGAACATCAACAGTGCATGGCTCATTCATGCACAGTCAACTTCACCTATATCAACTCGCACATAAAAACACTATCTTCAGACCTAGTAGCCATGACTGCACACTTTCAATCTCACGAATAACGACAACTTGCGAGCAACAACACTTTCTAATGCTCGATCGAGGGTCGCTATTTGCGAGGTTGACTATACTTAGCTTGCCAAGCCACAGTGCTAACTATCGGCCACCGACTCGCACGGTGTGCATTCAGATTTCAAATTTTCTATAGGATGCGCACGGGATCGGTGCCAAGGCTGAGAGCACTAGCGACGCACAGCAATCAACTCTCCTAGCATAGATGGTTGCAATTTCCCGCATAACGTGGTGCGGATGCACTGGATCACACTGGCAGATGTACTGGATGGTGTGCTCTTCACCCTGTCCTCGGTGCATACCGGTGATGTGTGGACCAAGCTACATATTTTTCGG